CGAGCTGGAATATCTATTGAGCTGAAGGGAGTCTTCTATCGACGAGCTGAAGGGAGTATTGCAAGACGTGCTAAAAGGCGTCTTCTATAGACGAGCTGAAGGGAGTCTTCTATAAAAGAATTGAAGGGAGTATTGACAGACGAGCTAAAAGGCTTTTTATATGGACGAGCTGAAGGCATACTTCTATTGACGATCTGAAGATAGTCTTCTACAGATGAGCTGAAAGCAGTCTTCTGTAGACGAGCTGAAGGCAGTCTTCTATAGACGAGCAGAAGGCAGTCTTCTATAGACGAGCTGAAGGGAGTATTGTCAGACGAGCTAAAAGGCGTCTTCTATAGACGAGCTGAATGGAGTTTTCCATAGACGAGCTGAAGGGAGTCTTCCATAGACGAGCTGAAGGGAGTCTTCTATAAAAGAATTGAAGGGAGTCTTCTATAGAAGAATTGAAGGGAGTATTGTCAGACGAGCTAAAAGGCGTCTTATATAGACGAGCTGAAGGCAGACTTCTATAGACGATCTGAAGATAGTCTTCTTCAGACGAGCTGAAAGCAGTCTTCTATAGACGAGCAGAAGGCAGTCTTCTATAGACGAGCTGGAATATCTATTGAGCTGAAGGGAGTCTTCTATAGAAGAATTGAAGGGAGTATTGTCAGACGAGCTAAAAGGCGTCTTCTATAGACGAGCTGAAGGGAGTCTTCTATAGGCGGGCGTCTTCTGTAGACGAGCTAAAGGGAGTCTGCTTTAGACGAGCTGAATGGAGTTTTTATAGATAGAGCTGAAAGAAGTATCTATATATGAGTTAAAGCGAGTCTCTATAGTCGAACTGAAATGAAAGGAGTTCTTTATAGGCGTGCTAAAAAGAATCGTCTTTAGAATAACAGTTGGGAGTCTCTATAGATGAGCTGATAGGGGTCTTTTTATATCAGAAGGTAGTACCTACAGGCGGGCTAAGAAGTGTCTCTATAGAGAAGCTCGACGCAAATGTTTAATAACGAGCTGAAGGCAGTCGAACTTAAGACAGTCTCCATAGCCGGGTTGAAGTTCGGTGGACCTTTGAGTCTACGAATTCAAAAATTGTTTTATATTTTCCTAAACGACAAAATCTAATCGTTCTCCTCTTTTCCTTAACATTTATAAACGAAAAGATAAATTATATGCGTTTATTTTTCATTCATAATATTTCTTCTTCACAAAGTCAAATCATAAATTTTGTGCAGTTGATGTAACGAAAGTCAAACAAATAAAAGCTGTTGCATTTCTGTAATTTAATCTAAATTTATATCCCCTGTGTGTGTGTATTGACAGTTATTTCCGATTTGAAACGCTCACATTTGTCTATGCTTATTTAGCTGTGTTAGTGTATATGCCACTCACACACATACACACTCAGACTACCATTCAGTCAGTCAGTTATTGAGGCAGTCTTGTTATTATTCATTCACATTTTTTTCTTATTCTTCATCGTCTTCAGTTTCCTTAATGCATTTTAATATTCCATTTGCTCTTTTCTTTTGCCGTTTCGTTTCATTCTATGTTTACCCATACACGCACACACACAAAGTTCTATCATTTCTATCTATCGTCTAATGCCATTACCTAAGTTTATTGCAAGTAAATAGAATTTCTTCTTTTAGCATCTTTTTGGTTGGTCCTATTCGAAGAAGTAGAATAAATGCCTGGTCGGTTTGCCGTTCGTTTGCAAATGGAAGGAGGTTAGCAAATGCACTACGTGGTAGTAGTGGTAGCAGCTGAAATCGATGTCGACATTGACATCAACATCCGTATCGACATTTACTACTACTGCACCCTCAACTCACTCACATATATTTAATATTCTCGGTTTACTGGCTTCCAGGCCATGTCAGGTGCACTGCCAGTCATAGCATGGTTAAGTCATAGGGCGTCTATAATTTGATATATGCGGGTTGAATGTTGCAATCTATTTAAATTGCTCGTTTAAAGAGAAAAGGTCGTAATAAGTAGCATGATTAAGTAGAAGGTTAGTTGCACTTTTAGTTCGATGAAAATTGAAGGTTTTCCTTTTTTTTTTTTGCATTTTTGTTGTAGTTATTTATTTTTCTTTGGTAATGAAGTTACTTAGGTTCAGATAATGCGAATAGTGAAGGTTAGTGGAAGTAGTTTTTACTATATATACATATATAGGTGGTAGTAATTGGTGAGATATTTATAGTTGGAATATATGTAATTTTAATAGGGTCTCGAGGCTTTCTAAGGCGCAATAGTCAGACAAAAATAAACATCGGAAGTCGATGGGTAGGTAGTTTTCTATGGGTGCACTTTCTTTAGACTTACCGAAGGAAATCTTTATAACAGAGTTGAAGGCTATTTTCATAGATGAACTGAGATGAACGAGGAGTCTCAAAGTCGAACAATCTTTCATAGAAGAAAAGAAGACTGGGAGCTTTCTACAGACCAACTGGTCAACTGGTCTGTAGAAAGCTCCCAGTCTTCTTTTCTTCTTCTTTCGAGACCCTATTAAAATTACATATATTCCAACTATAAATATCCCACAAATTACTACCACCTATATATGTATATATAGTAAAAACTACTTCCACTAACCTTCACTATTCGTATTATCTCAACCTAAGTAACTTCATTACCAAAGAAAAATAAATAACTACAACAACAATGCAAAAAAGGAAAACCTTCAATTTTCATCGAACTAAAAGTGCAACTAACCTTCTACTTAATCATGCTACTTATTACGACCTTTTCTCTATAAACGAGCAATACTTAGGGGCTTCTATAGTATACCTGAAGGCCAGTGAGTCCCTACAGAGAGTTTTCAAGTGCAAGGATTATTCTCGAGAATAGCTGACGGTTTGGGTGCCTCCTTGAAGGGAGTTTGTATTGACAGTCTGCTATACATATCATATATTGACGAGCTGAAGGGAGTCGGTAACGAAAGTTGTCTGTATAAACAAGGTCAAGGTAGCCTCTATATACGAGCTAAATTGAGTCCTTATAGACGAACTGAAGGTATTATGCGCTGAAAGGAGTCTTCGATAGATAAAATTAATTCAGGGAGCCTTTTGCAGACGAACGGAAGACAGGGGATATGTTGCAAATGAGCCGTAGGACGAGAAGAATTATAAAGTCCAGCTACTAGTACACATTCTACTATACACGATAATACATGAAACGTTCTATATGCCGGGTGAAGGGAGTCCTTATAGAGAAGCTGAAGAGCGTATTTATTAGGGAGCTGAAGGGCATCTCTATGAAGGACCTGAAGGGAGTATCTATAGACGAATTGCAGGAAGCATTTATAGACGAGCTGAAGGAGTATCTACAGACGAATGGACTTATCTATAAACTCGCTGAAGGTAATATTTTTTAGACGATCTGAAGAGAGTGTCCATAGAGGAGGTGAATGAAGTTTCCAGCTGAAGAGAGTACCTATAGCAAAGTTGAAGGGAGTCTTTAAAGACGAGTTGAAGGGCAGGTGGTCATTTAAAAACCATGTGAAGGAAGTATTTATAAGCGTACTGAAGATCAGAGATATAAGAGTGGATGGAATAACTTAAGCTAGAAGGTTCTGGATGTCCATATTTACGAGCTGAGGGGAGTATCTATAACCGTGCTCAAGGAAGTCTTTATAGACGGGCTGAGTGACAGAGTTTATAGAACACCCGAATGACGTCTTTATAACCAGGGGGGTTTCTAAACGTGAACAGAATCGTTTATGGAAGAGCTGAAGTGGGGGAGTACCCTAAGCCGAGTAGGATACAGGAGGTCTCATATATGCAAGTCAATAGTATTTTTAAGGTATGCAAGAGGTAGGGAGTTTCTAAAGTTCAGGTGGTCCTCCACAAACGGGTCAAAGGAAGTAATCATTTTATTGGCAAGCTGAAGAGTAGGATGTCTTCTGTAGAATAATTGAATGGAAGGATTTTTGAGCTAAAATCGTATCTTTAAATGAACTGAAGGGAGTTTTGAATTGAATAAGTAACACGCAAGGGGTCGGTTTCGAATGGCAGGGAATCATATGAAAATGATGTAAAGAAATTCGCGTCTTTTATAGACGGATTGAAGATGTGGGTATTTTTAGAAGAGCTAGTCGAGAAAAGACTGGCCGAATGAAGAACATGTCTATATATAGAAGATAAAAAGCAGGAAGGAATTACAGCTCTGTTAAGTCCAGTAAAATATTCTTTCAAAAATCCACGCCGATGGCTATGCTAGGTCTTGAAAATATTCTTTCAAAAAATCCACGCCGATGGCTATGCTAGGTCTTGAAAATAATCTTTAAAAAATCCACGACGATGGCTTTGCTAGGTCTTGAAAATATTCTTAAAAAAATCCACGCCGATGGCTATGCTAGGTCTTGAAAATATTTTTTAAAAAATCCACGCCGATGGCTATGCTAGGTCTTGAAAATATTCTTTAAGAAATCCACGATGATGGCTATGCTAGGTCTTGAAAATATTCTTTAAAAAATCCACGCCGATGGCTATGCTGGGTCTTGAAAATATTCTTTAAAAAATCCCCGCCTATGGCTGTGATGTTCCTTGAAAAAATATATTTAAAAAATCCATGCCTATGGCTGCAGGCTCAGCTTGAAAAAAATAAAAAATCCCCGCCTATGGCTGTGATGTTCCTTGAAAAAATATATTTAAAAAATCCATGCCTATGGCTGTGAGGGTCCTTGGAAAAAAATATTTTTAAAAAATCCACGCCTATGGCTGTGAAGTTCCTTGAAAAAATCTCTTTAAAAAATCCGCGCCTATGGTTGCGTCAGACCTTGGAATTAACATTTTAAAATGTGCAGATCTTCTCCACCTCGATAACCTTTGAGTTGATAATTTTCAGGACCATTAAACGAAACAATAAAAATTATAATTCTGATTAAAATTTGAAACCGCACAAAGTGAAAATGTCATTATCACCCAACACCATCATCATCGTCATCCTCATCATCATTATGAATGCTTATGATTGAATCCAAATAAAACTGCTGACAATTGCATACTTACCGCAATTTACGATTACGCTGTACGGAAATTATAACCAACGCATTACCCAGGACAGCTGCTAGAATGATTGAGAAGAATATGAAGCCTTTTAGAATGACGACCGAAAGGTCCATCCAATTATCGCTGTCGTTATCGTCATCGACAAGGGCGACATCGGTGGTGGTGGCGGCTGAGGCCATTGCGGAGGACAGTAGCGATGTTGTGGAATTCTCCGAAAGGCTTAAATTGAATGGCGAACTAAAGTAGCTGGTGGTATTGTTCATAATGGTGCTGCTAATGAGGGTGGTGGCGGTGCTGCCGCCGCCGCTACTATAACCATCGAGATAACTATAAGGAGTGGAAAATAAATTCTCATCTAAGGCATTGTTGGTGACGGCGGAGTGGGAGTGGGTGGAGGAAGAGGAGGTGGCTGCGGCAGCTGTTGCTGCATCGGCGGCATCGTTGAATGTACCCGTTGTTAAAGCGGAAGTTAACGTTTTTATCGAATCGTTGAAAACAGTTGGCGATGAAAATGATGTCGACAAGGCTGTTGTAGATGACTCTGTGGATGATGATGCGGAGGTGGTGGTGTGGGTGCTGGTGGCAGCCAATGTGGATGATTCTACAGGCCCAGTAAGAGATGCTGATGATGATGCCAATGTTAAGTCATGAGGAAATGTAACTGATGAATTTGACGTTGCTGTTGTTGTAGTTGTTAGCACGGACGTTGATGGCGATGCCAAAGATAATGCTGATGAGGAGCTATGTATCGATGTTGCTATGTGTTCGGCGTTGTGTGATGATGTCGTTTCATTGGCAGCATTGGTTAACATGGATATTGCAGGCTGTTGTTGTGACAACCCGGCCAAAACTGATGTCCCCGCTAGATGCTCCCGCTCCTCCACGGCTATTGTCGTTGCTGTGGCCGTTGTTGTTAAGGTGGCTGTTGCATTGTTTGCATTTTGAGAGACCAGTGCAAATGTTGTTTCATTCTGTTCGGGATACGGCTGTGGAGGATGTTGGAACTGATGACTACTCGGTGTTTGTTGTTGGCGACTGGCTTTTGAAAACAAAAGATGCTGTTCGTAATGAGTTGTTGTTGGTGTTAGTGTTGGCTGATTGTATGCAGGACTTTGTTTGGCAGTGCTACCGCTGTTTTTTAATGTTTTAATTGTTGATGCTGCTATCGTTTTCAGTGTTGTTGTATCGAATAATCTGATGATATTTGATGGCGTCTCATGGAGCGACATCATAGTCGCTACACAATCACGTTGTCATACACGAAATTGGAAAAAAGCTAACGAACTGGACCTGGAAAAAAATATTGGAAAAAAGAAACATCATGGTTAGTACATAGAAGGTAATACGATTTAAAATAAAATAGGTAAAAGGAAAGGTAAAATAGTAAGTAAATAGGGAAACTGGTAAAATAGATTTTTTTTGCAACGATCATCACAGCCACAGGCGTGGGTTTTTTAAAAAGATATTTTTCAAGGACCATCACAGCCATAGGCGTGGATTTTTTAAATAGATTTTTTCCAAGGAACATCACAGCCATAGGCGTGGATTTTTTTAATAGATTTTTTTCCAAGGAACATCCAAGCCATAGGCGTGGATTTTTTTAATAGATTTTTTTCCAAGGAACATCACAGCCATAGGCGTGGATTTTTTAAATAGATTTTTTCCAAGGACCATCACAGCCATAGGCGTGGATTTTTTAAATAGATTTTTTCCAAGGACCATCACAGCCATAGGCGTGGATTTTTTAAATTGAATTTTTCAAGGACCATCACAGCCATAGGCGTGGATTTTTTAAATTGAATTTTTCAAGGACCATCACAGCCATAGGCTTGGATTTTTTAAATTGAATTTTTCAAGGACCATCACAGCCATAAGCGTGGATTTTTTAAATTGAATTTTTCAAGCACCATCAAGGCCTTAGGCGTGGATTTTTTAAATTGAATTTTTCAAGCACCATCAAGGCCTTAGGCGTGGATTTTTTAAATTGAATTTTTCAAGCACCATCACAGCCATAGGCGTGGATTTTTTAAATTGAATTTTTCAAGGACCATCACAGCCATAGGCGTGGATTTTTTAAATTGAATTTTTCAAGGACCATCACAGCCATAGGCGTGGATTTTTTAAATTGAATTTTTCAAGGACATTCACAGCCATAGGCGTGGATTTTTTAAATTGAATTTTTCAAGGACATTCACAGCCATAGGCGTGGATTTTTTAAATTGAATTTTTCAACAGCCATCACAGCCATAGGCGTGGATTTTTTAAATAGATATTTTCCAAGGACCATCACAGCCATAGGCGTGGATTTTTTAAATAGATTTTTTCCAAGGACCATCACAGCCATAGGCGTGGATTTTTTAAATAGATTTTTTCCAAGGACCATCACAGCCATAGGCGTGGATTTTTTAAATAGATTTTTTCCAAGGACCATCACAGCCATAGGCGTGGATTTTTTAAATAGATTTTTTCCAAGGACCATCACAGCCATAGGCGTGGATTTTTTAAATAGATTTTTTCCAAGGACCATCACAGCCATAGGCGTGGATTTTTTAAATAGATTTTTTCCAAGGACCATCACAGCCATAGGCGTGGATTTTTTAAATAGATTTTTTCCAAGGACCATCACAGCCATAGGCGTGGATTTTTTAAATAGATTTTTTCCAAGGACCATCACAGCCATAGGCGTGGATTTTTTAAATAGATTTTTTCCAAGGACCATCACAGCCATAGGCGTGGATTTTTTAAATAGATTTTTTCCAAGGACCATCACAGCCATAGGCGTGGATTTTTTAAATAGATTTTTTCCAAGGACCATCACAGCCATAGGCGTGGATTTTTTAAATAGATTTTTTCCAAGGACCATCACAGCCATAGGCGTGGATTTTTTAAATAGATTTTTTCCAAGGACCATCACAGCCATAGGCGTGGATTTTTTAAATAGATTTTTTCCAAGGACCATCACAGCCATAGGCGTGGATTTTTTAAATAGATTTTTTCCAAGGACCATCACAGCCATAGGCGTGGATTTTTTAAATAGATTTTTTCCAAGGACCATCACAGCCATAGGCGTGGATTTTTTAAATAGATTTTTTC